TACCTAACTTTAAGATCAGTAATCTATGTAATAAAGTAGAATTCAAAAGTTAATGAATTTCCACAGGAAGCTGTGATTTTCCATGTTCTCTTAGAAACTTGGTGGGGGGAATTAAACATTTCTGCTGAGCTCTCTCAATGTAACCCAATAAACAACTTTTTGAAAAACACCTCAAACAAAGCTCTGAATGAGATAACAAAAAAAGTTACTATATCTGATTTTTCCAGCCCAAGATATCTTGGGAATGCTGAAAAAGACATCTGCTAGTGGACCCTGGGGTGGAAGTAAGACAGAAATGAGCATGGAGGAAGTACCAGCAGCTATGGGACCTGAAGAGGTCAACAGCACCAGCCACAGTAGCAGCAACAGTGGCAGCACTAAGAGTGCTAAGAGACTGGAAAAATATTACAGAGAAACCCATTACCCAATTCTGGGTCAAAGTTCCAGGACAGAAAGAAGCAGGCAAAACCTTTAGTCATGAGGGAATAGAGGCCCTACCTAGGTAAGGACCACAGCACAGACCAGAAGAATGATGAAGAAAACTCCCCTCAGATCACACCACCTTTAAAGCACTAAAAATCTATAGCTCCCAAATTTAGCCATAGAATTGCAAGCTAGCCATCCCTCTATCCCAGAAAGTGAGCAGAACTTAATTGTAATATAAAGTCCAAAGTCAAGAAATAAGCTGGAAAATATGAGCAAACAATAAAAAAAAAGAAACTGACCATAATGGGTATTTATAGTAGTCAAAATAACTTATTCACTCAAATTCATTCTTAAAACAGTATTGTAGTTACTGTATACAATATTGGTTCTATTCATTTTATTCTTCATTATTTTGTGTCTTTCCATGTTTTTCTAAGATCATTGAGCCCATAATTTCTGTTTTTTAATTTTTTAAAAATTTTTTAATTTTTTTAATTTTAATTTAATATTTTTATTTTTAACATGTGTTTTTTAAAACTTTGGGTTACAAATTTTCTCCCTTCCTCCCTCCCCACCCACCCTCAATGAAAAGGAAAGCATTTCAATACAGGTTATAGATGTGTAGTCATGCAAAACACTTCCATAGTAGTTCTGTTGTAAAAAACTAACTATATTTCCCTTCATCCTATCCTACCCCCCATTTATTCTATTCTCTCTTTTGATCCTGTCCCTCCTCAGAAGTGTTTGCTTTTGATTATCCCCTCCCTCAATCTGCCCTCCCCTCTATCAACCCCCTGCTCTATGGTCCCTTTCCCCCCTTATTTTCCTGTAGGGTAAGATAGATTTCCACACCCCACTGTGTATGTTATTTCCTCCTTAAGTCAAATCCTATGAGAATAAGATTCACTCATTCCCTCTCACCTTCCCCCATTTCCCCTCCACTGTAAAGGCCTTTTCTTGTCTGTTTCATGTGAGATATTTTACCTCATTCTACTTCTCCCTTTCTCCTTCTCCCAGTATAATCTTCTCCCACCCTTTGATTTTATTTTCCAGATATCACCCCTTCATCTTCAACTCACCCTGTGCCCTCTATCTGTCTATATATACTAACATAATTTTTCCCTCCCACTACCCTAATACTGACAAAGGACTCATGAGTTACAAATATCATCTTTCTCTGCAGGAATGTAAACAGTTCAACCTTAATAAGTCTCTTATGATTTCTCTTTCCTGTTTACCTCTTCATGTTTCACTTGAGTCTTGTATTTGAAGGTCAAATTTTCTATTCAGCTCTGGTCTTTTCCACAGGAATGCTTAAAAGTCCCCTATTTCATTGAATGACCATTTTTTACCCTGAAGGATTATACTCAGTTTTGCTGGATAGGTGATTCTAGGTTGTAGTCCTAACTCCTTTGCCCTCTGGAATATCATACTCCATGCCCTCCAGACCCTTAATGCAGAAGCTGCTAAATCTTTTGTTATTCTGATTGTGTGTCCACAATACTTGAATTGTTTCCTTCTGGCTGCTTGTAACATCTTCTTCTTGACCTGGGAATTCTGGAATTTGGCTACAACATTCCTAGGAGTTTTCCTTTGGGGATCTCTTTCAGGAGGTGATCAGGATTCTTTCAATTTCTATTTTGCAGTTTTCTTTGATAATTTCTTGAAAGATGATGTCTAGGCTCTTTTTTTGATCATGGCTTTCAGATAGTCCAATAATTTTTAAGTTCTCTCTCCTGGATCTATTTTCCAGGTCAGTTGTTTTTCCAATGAGATATTTCACATTCTCTTCTATTTTTTCATTTCTTTGGATTAGTGTTACAGTGCCTTGATTTCTCAAATTGTCCCTATCTTCCAATTTCTCCATTCTAACTTTTAAGGAAGTATTTTCTGCAGTAAGCTTTTGGATTTCCTTTTCCATTTGGCCAATTTTGCTTTTAAGGGCATTCTTCTACTCATTGGCTTTTTGGACCTCTTTTGCCATTTGGGTTAGGCTATTTTTTAAGGCGTTATTTTCTTCAGTATTTTTTTGGGTCTCCTTTAGCATCACTCTCAGTTTTTCCTTTACTTCTCTTACTTGCTTCTCAAAATCCTTTCTGAGCTCTTCCATGGCCTGGGATCAATTCATATTTTTCTTGGAGGCTTTGGATGTAGGAGCTTTGGCTTCATTGTCTTCTTCTGGTTGTATGTTTTGATCTTCTTTGTCATCAAAGTAAGATAACATAATCTGACTCTTTTTGCACTGCTTGCTCATGATCCCGGCCAATTACTTGAGTTATAAACTCTTTGTTAAGGTAGGAGCCTGTTTCCAGTGTGGAGAATGTACTGTCCCAAGCTTCAGGGGTTTTGTGCAGCTGTTTTCAGAGATACTTCCAGGGACCTGTAAATTTTCAGTTCTTCCAAGGTGCTATATTCAAGGTCGAGTTGTTTACTCCTTTCCTAGCCTGTGCTGCAGTCAATGAGAACTCTTTTCTGTCTTGGAACTGTGAGGAGGGTTTCCTCTCCACAGCCACTACAAGCTCCACCACACCAGCACTCCTCCTCGCCCTAGGACTGCCACCCAGAACTGTGACCCAGATCCAACCACAGGCAAAGCAAGAGAATCCTGCACCAGCAGAGAGATCCCTGCAATCCCCATCTTATCACCCACTCGATTCCCCCTCAGTCTGTGGACCGGAAACTCAGGAGGCAGCCACTGCCCCGGCCAAGCTTGGGGACTGGAGCTGAGACCACCGGCTTCTCTCTCTCACCATAGACACAGACTTTTACCACTGACCTTCTAAGTTGTCTTTGGCATTCATGGGTTGAGAAGTCTGGAAACCACCACAGCTGCTGGCAATTCAGTCCTCTAAGGCCTGCTCCAGGGTCTCTGAGGCCTGCGTGCCCACATTGAACTGCGCTCCTCTCCCAGCCTGGCATGATATACCTTTCCGATCAACCATCCAGACTGTCTTGGGTTAAAAATTTGTTTCACTCTGTCTTTTTGTGGGTTCTGCTGCCTTAGAATTTGTTTAGAGCCATTTTTATAGGTATTTAGAGGGGCTTGGGGGAGAACTCAAGCAAGTCACTGCTTTTACTCTGCCATCTTGGCTCCACTGACCTCATCATTTCTTAAAGCACAGTAGTATTCCATCACAATTATATACACCATAATTTGTTCAGCCCACCTCCAATCCCTGCAATTTCCAGTTCTTTGTCACCACAAAGAGAACTGCTATAAACATTTAAGAACATATATATTCTTTTACTTTTTTCCCTAATCATCTTTGGAAATAGACCAAGTAGTGGTATTGCAGGGTCAAAGGGTATATACAGATAGTTTAATAACTCTTTGGGCATAATTCCAGATTGCTCTCCAAAATGGTTAGATCAGTTCACAATTCCACCAACAATGAATTCGTGTCCCAATTTTTCCATATCCCCTCCAACATATGTCACTTTCCCCATCAATCATTTTAGTCAGTCTGATAGGTGTAAAATGATACCTCAAGGTTGTTTTAATTGGTATTTCTCCAATCAATGATGATTTAGAGCATTTTTCATATGACAATAAATTGTTTTGATTTCTTCATTGGAAAACTGCCTGTTCATATCCTTTGACCATTTATCAATTGGGGAATTGGGGGTCATCTCTAGTCATCCTGATCTATATCTTGCCCAGATGGCTCCAGAGGAGAAAGTGAGGCTGGTGACTTTGCACAGCCCTCCCTCACTTAAATCCAATTCACTTATGAGTCATGGCATCATCTTCCTCACGTCATGGTTCTCTTCAAGAATGAAGGACAAACAACAACATTGGGGAATGACTTGTATTTCTATAGATTAGACAAAGGTCTTTATATATTTGAGATATGAGACCTTTATCTGATAAACTGTCTATAAAATTCTACACACACACCCCAATTTTCTTTTCCTTATGATCTTGGCCACATTTGTTTTATGTGTACAAAATTTTTTAATTTAATGTAATCAAAATAATCCATTTTATACCTAACTTTGCTTTCTGCCTCTTGTTTATTTATAAATTGTTCACTTATCCATAAGTCTGATAAATAATATGTTCCACGTTCTTCTCATTTTCTTGTAATATCTTTTTATCTAGGCCATATATCCATTTTAAGCTTATCTTGGTAAATGATGTAAGTTACTGATCTATACCCAGTTTCTGCCATACTGCTTTCTAGTTTTCCCAACAATTTTTACCAAATAATGAATTCTTATCCTCAAATACTGAGTCTTATCTTAAGGGTATTATGTTTATTTGCTTTTGTAAATTGTGTTGGGTATCATATTTCTTGCCTTCTCAATAGGTGGAGGTAGAGTGAGAAGGAAGAAGAGAATTCAAAACTAAAAATAAAAAGATTTTTAAAAGAAACTTGAAATACAGAAAAAATAACAGCTTTTCCACTTAAAGACAAATTGTTGTTATTTGTATATTAGTAAATATGCAGTATGTGGGTTACCATTCAACAAGCTTCAATATTTTGTATCTTGCTTTAGTTTATTTCTATTTAATCTACTCAATAACATAACAGCATATAGTGAAAATGGAGGAAAAAGGCATTCACACTTACCTTTTATCTAAATGATGAATAGATAGGATAACACCTGAATTTAATTGTATTTGTTTTAAGGTCACCAAAATAGTGAACTCATGCTCATTTCGTAACTTCTGAAAAAATTGTTCAGCAGTAGCAATGGATGCTTTTACACTCCTTGAAGTATCTAAAAATAAAGCAAAAAAAAATACTAAGTGTAGACTAGAATTTGTCTTTATATTAGCACCCAACAAGTTTTTTAAAATTTTGCTGAATGATTTATACATAATAGAATAGTGATTGTATAAACAAATATTTGTAACTAGATAAGAGGGCTCAAAGAACAATGAACATTAAAATCTCTAATTAAAAGCTAGTCCATTATACTGTACCTCATTTTCAAGAGCAACAAGGTCTACCTGAACAGCTCCAAGACAAAATATTTTGACTTATATCAAAATTTCTATTCTGCAGTCTTCATTTATTATTGGCATGTGTTCTTGATGTCTACCTTGATGTTCTCAATTCAAAAACTGGATTTAAACAATTCTACTTTGTATACATTGATTCCTTGAGCTAGAAGGCTTGCTTTAAACAAAATTCAAGATTACTAAATTAGTCACTCTCATACTTTGGTGTTTCTGATTTAAAAAAAAAAACAACCCAGCATATGCTTGATGCTTATGAAATATAAAGATAAAAGTATCTTTTATTTGTTGAATAGAGTATATACATTCTAATATATATTTCCTTCCCCTATCTTGATGTGAGTGATCATACTTAGAAGCATAATCTTTTGGCCAAGAAAGTTTTAAAAAGGAGACACAAAATCTTGTCCAATATTCACACAACCTTAGAACACAGAGATCAATGATGAAACACCCAGGAAGAGTAATAGAGCTATATTGGGAGACTGGGAGATACAAAGGAGGGAGGATTAGTCTTGACTATCTCTTATCCATGAATAAAATTCTCCTCATGGGCATATTTGGGTATAAGGAAAGCCCCACACACATATAAGGAAAGCTGCCATACATTTGAAGGCAGTTACTTGGAGTATTCAACTCTTCCCTTTTTTCCTAAGTGTAAACCTGAGTGAAAAGGAGATTTTCTAATCACTGTAAAGTTCTCTTTTTTATGTTGTTGCTCAGTCCAGTTGTGTCTGACTCTCCATAGCATGCCATTTCTCTCTATGGAGTTTTCTTGGCAAAGATACTGAAATGTTCTTCTAGTTCCTTCTCCAGTGAACTAAGGCAAATAGAGGTAAGTGACTTGCCTAGGGTCACATAGCTAGTAAGTGTCTGAGGCCAGATATGAACTTATGTCTTCCTGACTCCAGGCCCTTTCCACTGAACTGCCTAGCTACCTCTCCTTTCCATAGTCAAGAAATATTAATTCCCCAGAATAATAAAGAGAATAAATCAAAGTCATAAGCAAAATCTCAAAAACAAAAAAGCATGTGTTCATAAACAATTGAAAGCCTACTTCAATCATTCAGAAATATATAATAATAGTAAAAGCCACCTTAAATTCTCACCATATTTTGTCCTATCACAATACTATTAAGTAAATAGTGATCATCACTGTGTTCATTTTTAGTCAAAGGTAAATAGAATGAAAGAGAAGTTGGATGATTTATGCAAAATCATATGGCAAGTTAAGAGTGAAATTCAAGTTAGATCTCAGATCTCATAATTTACATGCAATATTCTTTCTATTATATGTCACTGATCTCTGTTCTGCTATTTTTATTGCATACTGTGTGCATCCCTAACTGCCCCTATTCATTATTTGCCAGATTCAGAATCTGAGGATCTTTAGTCATGAGTCTGTGCTTCTAATCTACTTTGAAGGTTTTTATCAAATGATAAAAATATGTGAGTGAAAAAACATTTATTTAAAGATGATTAACATATTTTAAAAATACAACTTATAAATTTACTACACTGTCTAATTTTTTTGAAAAATCACATGCAGTATTAAATGAGTCATTTGATTTTTCCAAAAGTTTCATGGTGTCAATCTTACGCATGTGATTTTTATCATTCACATAATCTTTTATACAAACCAATCAGTAATATGTTAATTAATCAAGTAAAGAATGATGAAGGGAAGGGAATAAGCATTTATATAGTACCTACTATGTTCCAGGCACTATGATAAGTGCTTTTAACAAATATCTCATTTGATCCTCAGAATAGCCTTGGAAAATAGGTGCTATTGTCCACTTTCACTGTTGTTGTTCAGTTGTTCGGTAACGTCTGCCTCTTCATGACCGCATGGACCACAGCATGCCAGGTCCTTCTGTCTTCTACTATTGCTCTAAGTCTGTCCAAACTCAAATATTGTTGCTTCCATGACACTATCTATCCATCTCATCCTTTGCCATTTCCTTTTCCTTTTGTCTTCAATTATTCCCAAAATCAGGGTCTTTTTCAACGAGTCCTACCTTCTCATTATGTGGCCAAAATATTTAAGCATCAGTATTCGTCCTTTCAATGAGTACTGACTGATTTGATCTTCTTTGCTGTCCAAGTAACACTCAAAAGTCTTCTCTAGCACTATAATTCAAAAGTGTTGATTCTGCAGCACTGAATTTTACTTATAGTCCAACTCTCACAGCCATACATTAGTACTGGAAAAACCGTAGCTTTGACTATATGAACCTTTCTCTGCTAAAAATCAGAGTATGCTGCCTAGATTTGCCATAGCTTTCCTTCCAAGGAGTAAGCATCTTTTAATTTTATGGCTACAGTTGCTATCTGTCGTGATCTTTCAGCCCAAGAATATGAAATCTGACACTGCTTCCATTTCTTCTCCCTCTATTTGCTAGGAAATTATGGACCAGATGCCAAGATCTTTTTTTAATATTAAGCTTCAAGCCAGCTTTTTCACTCTCCTCTTTCAGTCTCATCAAGAAACTTTTTAACTTTCTGCCATCAGAGTGGTATTGTCTACATGGCTGAGATTGTTGTTATTTCTCCTGGTAACTTTAATTCTGGTTTTTGATCCATCCAGCCTGACATTTCACATGAGGTACTCTGCATATAAATTAAGTAAGGTGACAATATACAGCCTTATTGTACTTCTTTCCCAATCTCAAAACAATCAGTTGTTCCATATTTGATTCTAACTGTTGCTTTTTAGCTGACATACAGGTTCTTCAGGAGTCAAATGAGATGATCCAGTGTTCCCATCTCTTTGAGGACTTGCTACATTTTATTATGGTCCACACAGTCAAAGGCTTTAGTGTAGTCAATTATGCAGGAGTAGATTTTTTGGTTTGTTTTTCTGAAACTCCCTTTTTTCCTCTATAATCCAATGAAAGTTGGAAATCTGATCTCTAGTTCTTCTGCCTCTTCACAAACCTGTCTCCACTTCTGGTAATTCTTATTTCACATATTGCTGAAGCCTAGCTTGCAGAATTTTAAGCATAACATTACTGGCATGTGAAATGAGTGCAGTTGTTCAGTACTTGAACATTTGGGGGTATTGCCTTTCTCTATAATTTGAACATACACTGATCTGTTCCAATCCAGTGGCCACTGTTGAATTTTTCAAATTTGCTGGCATATTGAGCACAGCACTTTAACAGCATCATCTTTTAGGGTTTAAAATAACTCAGCTGGAAGTCCATCACCCCTACTAGCTTTATTGTTAGCAATGATTCCTAAGGCCCACTTGACTTCATTCTCTAGGATTTACAGTGCTATATCAGTAACCACACAATTATAGTTATTGGTGATGTTAAGATCTTTCTTGTACAGTTCTTCTGGGTATTCTTGCCACCTCTTCTTAATCTCTTTTGCTTCTAAGTCCCTACCATTTTGTCTTTTATCATTCCTATTTTTACCTGAAATGTTCCCTTATTATCTCTAATTTTCTTGAAGAGATCTCTTGCCTTTCCCTTTCTATTATTTGCTTCTATTTCTTTACATTGCTTATTTAAGAAAACCTTATCTCTTTTTGTCATTCTGCAGAATTCTACATTCAGTTGAGTATATCTTTCCCTTTCTCCTTTACCTTTCACTTTCTTCTTTTCTCAGCTATTTGCAAAGCCTCAGTAGACAGTCATTTTGCTTTCTTGCTCTTCTTTGAGATTTTTTTGTGGCTGCCTCCTGTATGATATTGTAAACCTCTGTCCATAGTTCTTCAGGCACTCTATCTAATCTCCTAAACTCCTTCATCATCTCTACTTCATATCCATAAGGGATGTTATTTAGGTCATGTCTATACAGTCTAATGGTTTTTTCTACTTTCTTCAACTTAAGTTAAAATTTTGTAATAAGAAGCTCATGATCTGAGCTGTAGTCAGTTCCGGGTCTTGTTTTAACTGACTATATGGAGCTTCTCTACCTTTGCTTGCAAAGCATGTAATAAATCTGATTGACATCCATGTGGCTTGTTGAAAATTTGCTATGACCACTGAATTATCTTGACAAAACATCATTAGTTGAAAAAAAAAGTGTTTGCTATGACCATTGAGTTATCTTGACAAAATACCCTACTTCATTTTGTACTCCAAGGCCAAACTTGCCTCTTTTCTAGATATCTTTTGATTTCCTATTTTAGCATTCTAATCCTCTATGATGAAAGTGACACCTTTTTTGATGTTACTTCTAGGAGATATTGTAGGTCTTCATAGATTTGATCATCTTTGGCCTCTTTGGCATCAGTGGTTAGAGCATATTACTGTGATGTTGAATGGTTTGTCTTGGATTTAAAGAGGTATCATCCTGTCATTTGTGATATTATTCCCCAGTACTGCTTTTATCACCCTTTTATTGACTATGGGGGCTACTCCCTTTCTTCTAAGGGATTCTTGCATATGTAATGATTATCTGAATTAAATTCATCCATCCCCATCCATTTTAGTTCACTTACTGTGATGTGATGTGATGTGATGTGAATGGATGAATTTAATTTTAGTTCACTGGTGGAGTATATAGGATGTTTATGGAGGACTAGCACCTTTAGTGTGAGGGCTCACCAAGCCCTTTTCAGGGCTGCTCATCCACCTTTGGTATTCACCTTTCACCCAACTGTCACCTGTGGTTCCAAGAAGCTGTAGCATGTGTAGTGGCCATACCTGGTAAACCTTCCCAGCAGATGGGTTAAACCAGATTTAGGGTAACTGATAGGCCTTAAACCCACCAAAGAGTTAGGGTGGTGTCTACCCCAAGCATA